CCCCCCCCCCCCCCCCCTTCAAAACTGCTCTGGGACATTTATTTATTTTTATGAATAGTTTATGAATCGGTCACTTTAACAGCCTACAAGCTCACTCTACTGTTTATTGCATTATATTTTGCACTACTGTTATGATTAACTCGTCCTGTCTATTCTGGTAATTCTGGTATTGTCATTTCCACTTAATCACCTCATCAGTACATAACTGTGACTCTATATAGAACCGGTATGCACACCTTCACTTTACTAAGTTTCTCAGGTTTATACTTTATATTGCACTATTGTTTACTCTGGCCTTGCACATCCATTATCTACCTCTCATCATATTATTGTCTTCAGTCAGCATCCCTTTGTCTCCTGTTAGTCACTATTGAGCACGTTGCATCAGAGGTCCTGCTGCTGTTCACTTTTATATTTTTTTTATAACTAGTTGTGTTAGTTTATTTTTGCTAACGTTGTTGTTTGCTGCAACTTGAGTAGGAGTGTAACGCAATTTCAATTTCTATGTATGTCCTGTACATATGCAGAATTGACAATAAAATCAATCAATCAATCAATCAATCAATTTGTACAAATATATGCATGCATGTCCAAAAAGGCAACTTGAGGTAAGTTTTATTAGTGTTGGATAAATTTTAAAATTAGAATTAAATTCTGCTAACAAAAACATGTTTCTTTTTATTCCTAGTTTTAAAGTGGATATTAAAGTGATTAATTTAAGTGATTGTTTAGTTTTTATATATTTTTTTAAATAAGGGGCAGATATAAGATTTATTTTCTTCTTTCTGCACTCTTTTCATTCAATGTTTTCTTTTTGATGATTTTTTAAAATTTTGTTTCTTTTAAATGAATGAATAAATTAATAAAATAAATTAAACGTTAAATGGCTTCAAACATCTGCTAAGTTCGTGGCATAAACCAACAGACATGTTCCCGATTTTAGTATTTTACATCACTTTATAATGTAACTGTTTGTTTCGGTTTTTTTTTTAATATATATAAAATTTTCAAATCATGTTTTTTATGATTGTCTACTGTTGTACTGATAACTATTTCCTGCAGGGTAAACTATCTTGACTGCAAGTATCAAGCTGCGAATCCTTCCGTTTTCTACAACTGATAGTGGTTGGTCATTAATTATGATGAAGTTTAGCAACTTCTCTGTAAACATTCGAGCACCGTGGTTTCAGCGATGTCTTCTTCTTGTTAAATCCACAGCAGGCAGCCTGATTTCGGTCAGTCGCGCTCAGTCTGTCCCTCCTCAGAGACGGGCAAGGGGCATTTACCTTCGGGACAAATTGAGATTGCCTATTGGTCATTTACTGACACGCCTACGGGATTGATTGGCAGGTCGGAAAAAGTAAAAAGAGCGCTGGCAGCCTCCGCCACGGCGGTGTTCTGTGTTTATATGTTGTTAATTAAAAAAATCTAAAAAAAAAAAAAACAGGGAGCGCTGGCTCTACAGCCCACACATCAGACCAGCCCACCAGGAAATCTTCAGACCCTCCCGCAGCCATGCTGGAGCTGAGTTTAATTCGCTCGTGACAAATTCCTCCATTTCTCACCATTTCAGTCAGGGCATCAACGGAGGAGGAAGAGATCACTGCCTCTTGGAAAAAAAAACAAAAGAAAAGGCCAGATCAGGGATGAAGAAGGGGAATTTAATACAAACCGGGTTCCAAAAAAGTTGTGACACTAAACAAATTGTGAATAAAAACTGAATGCAATGATGTGGAGGTGCCAACGTCTAATATTTTATTCAGAATAGAACACAAATCACAGATCAAAAGTTTAAACTGAGAGAATGTATCACTTTAAGAGAAAAATATGTTGTTTCCAAATTTCATGGCGTCAACAAATCCCAAAAAAGTTGGGACAAGTCCATTTTTACCACTGTGTGGCATCCCCCCTTCTTCTTACAACACTCAACAGACGTCTGGGGACAGAGGAGACCAGTTTCTCAAGTTTAGAAATAGGAATGCTCTCCCATTCATGTCTAATACAGGCCTCTAACTGTTCAATCATCTTGGGCCTTCTTTGTCGCACCTTCCTCTTTATGATGCACCAAATGTTCTCTATAAATGAAAGATCTGGACTGCAGGCTGACCATTTCAGTACCTGGATCCTTCTCCTACGTAGCCATGATGTTGTGATTGCTGCAGAATGTGGTCTGGCATTATCGTGTTGAAAAATGTAGGGTCTCCCCTGAAAGAGATGACGTCTAGATGGGAGCATATGTTGTTCTAGAACCTGAACATAGTTCTCTGCATTAATGGTGCCTTTCCAGACATGCAAGCTGCCCATGCCACAAGCGCTCATGCAACCCCATACCATCAGTGATGCAGGCTTCTGAACGGAGCGTTGATAACAACTTGGGCTATCCTTGTCCTCTCTGGTCCAGATGACATGGCGTCCCAGTGTTCCATAAAGAACTTCAAATCGTGACTCATCTGACCAAAGAACAGTCTTCCATTTTGCCACACTCCATTTTAAATGACCCCTGGCTCAGTGCAAACGTCTTTGCTTGTGGAGCTTGCTTAGAAATGGCTTCCTCTTTGTACTGTAGAGTTTCAGCTGGCAACGGCAGATGGCACGGTGGATTGTGTTCACTGACGATGCTTTCTGGAAGTATTCCTGAGCCCATTCTGTTATTTCCTTGACAGTGGCATTCCTGTTTGAGGTGCAGTGACGTTTAAGGGCCCGGAGATCACGAGCATCCAGTAGTTTTACGGCCTTGACCCTTACGCACAGCGATTGTTCCAGATTCTCTGAATCTTTTGATGATGTGCACGGTTGATGATGATAACTTAAAAGTCTTTGCTATTTTACGCTGGGTAACACCATTCTGGTATTGCTGCACTATCTTTCTGCGCAACAATGGTGGAATTGGTGATCCTCTTACCATCTTGGCTTCTGAGAGACACTGACACTCTGAGAAGCTCTTTTTATACTCAATCATGTTGTCAATTGACCTAATTAGTGTTAATTGGTCTTCCAGCTGTTCGTTATATGCTCAATTTCCTTTTTCCAGCCACTTATTGCTACTTGTCCCAACTTTTTTGGGATTTGTTGACACTGTGAAATTTTGAATCAACATTTTTTTCCTTTAAAATGTTACATTTACTCAGATTAAACTTTTGATCTGTCATCTATGTTATATTACGAATAAAATATTGACATTTGCCATCTCCACATCATTGCATTCAGTTTTTATTCACAATTTGTTTAGTGTCCCAACTTTTTTGGAATCCGGTTTGTACATTGGTGTCGCATACAAAACAGTCCGTCGCCGGGCACTTTATTGTGCGACACCGCGTACGCGTATGCGGTCGTAAAAATTTGAGCTTTGCACGGACATGCCCTGGGGGGTACGCTCGTACCTCTGCGTATGGATGTACGCGGCAGTATACTGGGGGCTTTAGTCCTCATGTTGTAGCTGGCTGCAAACTATGATTTCCTGAATGTGAGGCGGGTCTTACTCTGGGTTCATGAGACACGCCGCCGTTCAGGAAATCCATTCCATAGTTTGAAGCCAACATGCATCATGGATCGGAAATATCGGCAGGTTGAATCAGAAAAATCTGATACGTAAATTATGCTGGTATCGGAGGCTGATACCGATTCTGGATCGGATCGGCCCCATCCCTAGTGCTAATGATCAGTTGTTAGGCTGATGGTCCTCCTTTTACATGTGAACAGCTAGTTCTGGATGTCAACAACAAACTGGTTGATCCACTATGAAAATATGCTATTTATAAGAGCTGAATACAGCTCCTCAGACTGAAGAAGTCTTTCAGATGAAAGATAAAACATTTCTACAATTTTATTATTATTATTATTATTAACCCGTCCAGAGGACCTGACTTAACTTTTTTAGATGAGTCCTTCGGTGTTTGCAGCAAGATGCTGCATATCTTCTACAAGTCTGTTGTAGAGAGCACTATCTCTTCTGCCATCATCTGCTGGAGTAGCAGCACCAGAGCAAGTGACTTAAAAAAGATCAACAAGCTCATAAAGAAGGCTGGCTCAGTTCTGGGGACATCCCTCTAGAACCTTTGGAGATGATTGTACAAAGAAGGATTCAGGGGGCGTCTGAGGCTGAGTAGTTAGAGCAGTCACTCTCCAATGCGAGAGTTGAGGTTCGATTCCACCAGCAGTCACATGCCGAAGTGTCCTTGGGCAAGAGACTGAACCCCCCATTACCTCAGATGTGTGTCCCATCGGCGTATGAATGTGATCAATCTCTGATTATTCTTTGTATAGATCTAGTAGTGTGAAGAGATGCACTGATCCACTTTTTCCACTTCCGATACCGATATCTGTTGTTTGTTGTTTGTAGATACCGATCTGAAATCGATCTGATACAGAAATAAACAGTGCTGAATTCCATTCAACAAACTCGGCGTGCTCTTTAGGGTGAAATCTCTGGAGATGCTTGATTAAGTTGGTAGTGTTATAACTGGAAGTTTTAGTGCCACCCCCTGGAATCGTCTCTGTGCACGTATTGCACGTAGCTGTTGAATGTGTTGGCTGAGGAAGTGTGAAATAGTTCCAGATGGCTGATCCTTTTGCTCGCTCCATTTTGAAAACGATCTGTGCAGTGAGTTCGTTAGCGCGTGACGTCACTCAGAGCACAAAGCATAGAATTAGAGTGACTAGATCTGCCTGTCATGGATCGGTCACATTGTCACCGATACCTCATCCAGAAGTTTGTTTCCTCGATATCAGGATCGATACCGGTATTGGTATCGGATCGATGCATCTCTAGTTAGTGTGCTGTATGAATGGGTAAATGAGGCACAGATTGTGTTGTAAAGAGCTTTGAGTATCTTGATCAGATAGAAAGGTGTTCATTAACCATTCATAAAATTAACATTAGAGACAACCCTCAGCATCCTCTTCATCAGACTGTCACACAATAACAAGAGTGTCTTCAGTCAGAGGCTTCTTCAGATCTGCTGTTAGACAGACAATATCCTTCCTGCCCACAACATCAGCATCTAGAACAACTAATGAAACCAGGATGATGAGTTACAACATTTCATTTCCCTCTGGGATTAATAAAGTATTTTTTAATTGAAATTAATATACTGGTACTGCTGCAGTGACCTCTACAAACGTTCTGAGACATTTTGGAAAGTCACGAGTTGTAACCCAGTGAGATATTGGCTTCATGAATTTTATGGTAACAAAAATATTATTTTCTGTAACAAACAAGTCTTGGAAAGTTTAGGAGTTTACTTAAGCATCATCTAACAATATTTGTCTTTTCAGGAAGGGCCAAGAGAAAGCACCTGAACTCACAGGACTGTGAGGAACTGGGACAATGTTCAAATTCTCTCACCCAGCCCCACTCGTCCAACCAGGGCCGGAGATACAACCACCCCAACCGGGGGCTTTACCCCAGGACCCCCAGAAAGCAACGAAAGACGGGTAATCAATCTTAAATCCTTCCACAGACGCCTAAACAAATCTTAGTGTGCACATGGGGAGCAATCATGAGAAACTACTGAAGGTTTTTTTTTTTTTTTGGTAAGCCACTGATCTCTTTCCACTCAAAGATCTGTCGGAGATGAACCAAAAAAAATGTACTAACACATGTTCCAAATTAGCCTCTGACCATTCTTTTAATTAGGGATGCACCGATCCACGTTTTAAAATTCCGATCCCGATACCTAGCTCTGAGTATCGGCCGATACCAATCCAGTTCCGATATCATGATCATCATTGATTTCATATGAGGCTGTAATAATCTCCTCTCAAGTACAATTTGTACAAATATATGATGCATGTCCAAAAAGGCAACTTGAGGTAAGTTTTATTAATGTTGGATAAGTTTTAAAGTTAGAATTAAATTCTGCTAACACAAAACATGTTTCTTTTTATTCCTAGCTTTAAAGTGGATATTAAAGTGATTAATTTAAGTGATTGTTTAAAGTTGTTTTATATTTTATAAGGAACAGATATAAGATTTTTTTCTTCTTTCTGTACTCTTTTCATTCATGTTTTCTTTTTGATGATTTTTTGTTAATTTTGTTTCTTTTAAATGAATGAACAAATTAATTAAATAAAATGTTAAATGGCTTCAAACATCTGCTAAGTTCATGGCATAAACCAACAGACATGTTCCTGTTTTTAGTATTTTACATCACTTTATAATGTAGCTGTTTATGTTTTTAATATATATAATTTTCAAATCATATGTTTTTTTATGATTGTCTACTGTTGTACTGATAAATATCTCCTGGAGGGTAAACTATATCTTAGCTGCAAGTATCAAGCTGTGAAATCCTTCGTTTTCTACAACTGATAGTGGTTGGTCATGAATTATGATGAAGTTTAGCAACTTCTCAGTAAACATTTGAGCTCCGTAGTTTCAGCGATGTCTTCTTCTTGTTCAATACAAAGCAGGCAGCCTGATTTGGGGCAGCCGCACTCAGTCTGTCCCTCCTCAGAGACGGGCAGACTGAGCGGGGCAGATTGGACGCGGCTGGCCGGGGTCGAGTCGCCTCTTTCGGTTTGACCAAAGAGTAGTGCCCCGCTGAAGCCTCGGAGCTCGAATGTCCATCGTAAAACTAACTTTAACGTGGTTTAATGTGGCGCTATGGCTCTGCAGACATTGCACGTTGCTGTCTTGTTTTGTGGTGTTTCTAGTGTAAAATACTTCCACACAGCGGACATGTTTAGATGAAAAGTTTGTTAGCTGTTAGCAACAGTGCTGCTAACTCAGTCCTCATGTTGTAGCTGCTGCAAACTATGAACTGGATTTCCTGAATGTGAGGCGGGTCTTATTACTCTGGGTTCATGAGACACGCCGCCGTTCAGGAAATCCATTCCGTAGTTTGAAGCCAACTTGCATCGTGGATCGGAAATATCGGCAGGAGGATCGGAAAATCCGATACGTAAATTATGCTGGTATCGGAGGCCCATACCGATACTGGATCGGATCGGCCCCATCCCTACTTTTAATAACCTGTCAACATTTACATTTGTATATTTTAAATTCAGCCCGTCTTTTTTACCTTCAATATGATTTCATCTGAAGTTTATTATTTTCTTGTTCGATCTTTAAAGCAGCTTCTGCTGCAGGAAGTCCCTCCGGGAAGCAGAAGGCCATCAACGACTTCTTCTCCGTGGTTAACATCATCAGTTCCAGTCCGAACAAATCTCTGCCCTCTACATCCACATATCAAGAAGGATCAGCGTTTGTGGAAAACGATGACGAGGATGATGATGATGTTAGCTTGTTGGCCACCCAGTGTGAGCCCATGGCAGATGAGGAAGAGGAGATCGATGATGAGACTTTGTTAGCTGCAGAAATGCTGCCAGAGTTTGAGGCAGAGATGAGTCAGTTCAGAGGCGCCTGCCAGTCAGGTGCTGGTGCGGCACCTGGATGTGAGCCAAAAGACGAAGACTATCTGGAGGGACTGACGGCTGAGATGTTTGAGGACGACGAGGACTTTGATGGAGGCTGCAATCAAGAGGAAGACGTTGAGCCTCTCCCTGATGCTCACTTTGGACTCCTGGGGAGCAGCAGAGTCCTGCTCCAACCACAGAGCTGCATGGACGATCTCCCTGAGGAGGTGCTGAGGCAAATCCTGTGTCTGCTTCCTGCAGTGGACCTTTACCGCAGCGCCAGCCTCGTGTGCCACTGCTGGAGGAACATCGTTCACGACCCCAAGGTGAGACGTCACTGACACCAGCAGCGCGGTACGGAAGCAGATTTTAGTTTTTAGTACTCGGACATAATTGCACCCTGATTACTGAAAACTAACTGAAATTTTTTTTGCTCCTTTTCACAGTTTGTGCCTTTTAAAAAGCAATACTATCGCTTCATGATGAAAGAAAGAGAGACGATGAAGGAGGTCTTCTTCACACTGAAGAAAAGCAACATCAGAGGTCCTTCGCCTTCAGCGTTCAGCTTACGAAAGCTCGTGGTGTGAGTCTCAGTTTCTTTACAGGAAGTATTCAGACCCCACGTTGGCGCAGATTGTTCCAAAGTTTAGGGCCCACGACTGAAAAAGCCTCATCTCGTCTGAGCTCCAGCAAAAAGCAGCTGATCAGATGATCTCAGGGCCAAGAAGGAACATTGAAGTAGCTCAGAGAGATAAATGGTGCAAGACCGTTAATGCACTTAAAGATTAGCAGGATAATTTTAATATCTATTCTGACACATACAGGGAGCCAGTGAAGGGAGGACGAAACCGGTGAAATGTGCTCAAACCTATGAGTTCCTGTTAAGAGCCGAGCTGCAGCATTTTGGATGAGCTGGAGACGTGAAGGAGAGACCTGACTGACCCCAACATGAATGAAGCAAATTGCTGAGTTATTCTGACCAAAAACCTGTTCTGCAGAGCTCAGAACCTCAGACTGGACTGAAGGTCCACCTTCCAGCATGACAGGAGCACAAATCACACAAAGAAGGAAAGTGTGAAGGTCTCAGAGGGACATCATCAACATCTCTGAAGAGAATGGCTCTAATGGCACTCCTCACATAATCTGACTGAGATTGAAAAGATTTATGAAAAAGAATCCTCCAATCCAGGTCTGTAAAACTTGTTTCATCAAACCCAACAACATGTCAAGGCTGGAGCTGCTTCACATAAGCACCAAGAGTCAGACAGTAATAAACTAAATGTCAAGTTTCAGGTTTCATACGTGGCGCTGAGCGGATTATTGTCTGAATACTTTCTGAGGCCACTGTGTGTAACTGTTGGGTTCTGTTTGTACATTTTTACCTGAACTGAGAGTCGTCGGGCGGTTTTAGCAACAACTTGGTGAAACGCGTGTTTCCTGCAGGTTAATGGCTCAGCATAACGTCGGGGAGCGCGTGAGGCCAGAGGACGTCCTGGAGCGCGTCAAGAAGCATCGCCTCTTCCCTCAGGCCGAAGCCTCTATCAGATTACGTATTCCTGATATTCAGAAGTTTTTTCATCTTGGCATCGAGGTATGACACGGATACTGAGTCCAGTTGTGCTGTAACGAGCTTCACGTTGTGAGAATCATCTTCTGCCTGATCTCCAGGGTCCTAACCCGTACGCAGCCATGGCCATGGTTCTGATCCTCAGCGAGCAAGTTGGGGACGTGCAGGACTTGGTGTCTCTGCTCGCCGGCTGCCTGTCTCTAACAGCCATCACAGAGTACCTCAGCCACATGGCCATGATGCTGCTCGCTTTGGAGAGGAACAAGATTTCCATCAGCAACAGGTTTGAGCCACAAAGGTCAAAGTTTACATTCGAGGCTCGTTTTTGTCATCCGCTCAGGGAGTGTCTCTTGTTTTGCCTCCACAGGTTGCACTACAACATCTACTATGTGCTTCACATGCTGGAGAATGGACCGTTTTCTGTCAGCTCCGGTCAGACCGGGTGAGTTCAGAACAAACTCGTTTCTCTGAGGATGTTTTTACGTAGCCGTTTTCTGATCAGACTTTAATCTTTACAGTAAGAAACGTGATTTTAAAAGCTCTTCGTTAAGAGCGTCTGTAGAGTTTTATAAACGCTTAGATTAGGGATGCACGATATTATCGGCATGGTATCAGTATCGGACGATATTAGCGATAAATTTAAATATCGGACATGTTTTTGTTGATTTAAAGAAGGCTTTCGATACTGTTGATCATAATATTCTAGTTAATAAATTACATAAATATGGTATTAGAGGATTAGCGTTACAGTGGGTGTGTAGTTACTTGGAAAACAGGAAACAGTTTGTACAGATGAATGATGTGAGATCAGATCTCTGCACCATCACATGTGGAGTTCCTCAAGGATCTGTACTTGGTCCAAAGTTATTTATTTTATATATAAATGATCTGGTTAAGGTGTCTGGAATCCTCAAATCTGTTCTTTTTGCTGATGATACAACATTTTTTTGTTCTGGTAATAATATTGAACAGTTATTGGAATCAATGATGAATGAGTTTGTTAAAATTCAGAATTGGTTTAAACTCAACAAATTATCATTAAACTTGGAAAAAACAAATTATATGATATTTAGTAACAGAAATAAAACTATTGATGTTCCATTTTTAATTGAGGATTCTGAGATTAGTAGAGTTAATGAAGCTAAGTTCTTGGGTGTCATCATTGATGAAAATTTGTCATGGAGGCAACATATAAACTCTGTTAAAATGAAAATATCCAAATCTATTATGATATTTTATAGAGTCAGGTATCTGTTGAATGACAGAGCGCTGTATTTACTGTATAATACAATTATTGTGCCACATTTAATTTATTGTGTTGAAGTTTGGGGAAAGGCGTGTAAATCAATTACAATGCCTATTTTTATTTTGCAGAAAAGAGTCGTAAGAATCATAACAAGAAAGCATTATTATCATCCAACAAGTATATTATTTTATCAAATGAAATTGCTGAAGTTCCATGATTTGGTAGACTATAATATTTTATCACTTATGTATAGAGCTCATAAAAATATACTACCTTTTAATATCCAAATGTACTTTGTGAAAAGATCTAGCTGTTACGATCTAAAAGGGAAAGACGTATTTGTTAAACCACAGTTTAGAACAAGTTTGAAGGGAAGATCTACCGTAATTCAGGGAGTTGGTTTATGGAATGACTTAGTAAAAGAGGTTAAGGATGCTATATCAATTTATGTATTTAAGAAACTGATTAAAATCAAATTGTTAAATGAATATCAATGATTGTATTTTGATGAGTATTGTATGAGAATTGTAAAATATTTTGATTTACTTACTTGTATTCGCTGTTTACAGGAAACGTTTGTTTGAATGGCTTATTAGATAAATAAGGAGCAGATTTAATAAGATTTTTTTCTTCATCTGCTACCTTTCATTTTATATTTAATATTTTGTTGTTGTTACATATATGTTGATTATGTTGATTGTTATGTATTTATAAAATGAATAAATAAAATAAAAAAATAAAATAAAATAAATGTGCCATTCCATCAAAATAACTCGCTAATATAAAAGGCTTCTGTTTTAAGTTAATTTTTCATTAAAAAAACTGTCAACTAGGCCTGTCACAATAAACAATAAATCAGTTAATCTCCTGATAAATGAAAATTATCAACCTCATTTTCATTTATCGGCTTTATCGTTTCTTCGTCTTTCTTTCTACTGAAGACACTGGATGACGAAAGGCTCAACTCCGGTGCTCTTCACTGACCCCTCCCTTTTTCTTTAAAATCCATTTTAACCGTCTAAAATCACGTTTTTAGATTGTTAAAAGCAGCTAAACTGAGAAGCTAAGCTACGAGCTAAGCTAAACGGCCGACCTCAGGGAAAAAAACCTCCGTTTTGTCGAAGCTCCACAATTCACAGTTGAAACCCGTGCCTTTGTGTAAAAGGTTGTTTTTCCTCTGCAAAAAGAAGCTGAGAACTTGTTTACCGATTTTTTTATATTAAAAGCTTTGTGTGAAAAATGCAATGCTAAAGAGCTCAAACTACACTGAGCGTCCGCCATTTTAAGAAACAAAAAAAATGAAGGAGAGACGGCCCATGTCACGTCAAGGAGCCTCCCTCCCATTTTTCTTAGAGACACTGCTCGCTCTCTCACTATCCATCCTTCGGTTCCAACAGTCTTATACTGCCATGTGGTGGTTGAAAAACGGTACTACATGCAAAACAAATTCACCAACATTTCTTAAATTTGACAATAATGACTAATTATTGTCAACTTTCAAACAGTATTATTGTTTATCACAACAATTTCTGAGACAATTGCCCAGCAAAAGTTGTTATTGTGATAAAGTATATCTATTAATGCACTACTTATGCACTTTTCACTTGTCGCTTGTGAACAGGAAGAGTTTAGATTTGTGATAAATTACAAATTTGCACTGTTTGAATGTTGTCATTGTGTTAGAGAGTAAATATCATGAATAAATTTGACATTAAACATAATCCAAGTTAAAGTGTTACATCATTTTCAGCCCCTTTTTGACATCTGCATTTGGTAGCAGCCAAATTAACAAAGACCATGCAGAATAATGTAGTATTTTAATTCCACAGCAGAGAAAGTTATATAGTCTCTGTAAGTAGGTCTACGGGCAAAAATATCGGTATTGGTATCGGTTATCGACCAGATAAGTTTTAACATATTAGTATATCGGATATCAGCCAAAAATCCAATATCGTGCATCCCTAATTTAGATTATTCATCAAATTCGTTTAAATGAACAATAAATTAACATTTCAAGTTGAAGTAGTGTTTTCCGCATTTGTCTTGGTTGTAAATGTTTGAACTCTTTTCTTTTTTTTAAGCCAGCGCCACAATCTGAAACTTGAAGTTAGATCAATGTTGATTTTATTGCAACTTTCATTTTTCTTTGTCTGTAAAAGATAAAAGCTTTATTCATTCGTCTGTACTTTGTATTGCCTTTTTTTTTCTTCTTTTTTTTATAATACAAAAAAATTAAAGCAATTAAAATAAATCTAATTTGCAAAATTATAATGCACATCTCAAAAGCAATGATAAAATGCAATGTTTGTTAGTGTAAATATTTGTAAACTTCATAATAAATTACATAGGCTCTGTAGTTTTGGATGTGTAGCCATAAAATGTCCTAAAATTCACATTAAATGTCTTTGTACATTGCATAGTCTGTAAAAACATGCATTAAAGTAATAGTTCTGATCTTTTGAAGTGCAGTTCTGTTGCGTGTTGTAGGTAGCTCTTTAAACAACCTATGTCTGGAGGTTTAACAGTTTAACTCAAGTTCAAGTCAGTTTTATTGTCATTCACATCACGTGTGGTGCATGAAGTGGAACAAAATTATGTACACAGGGTCCCAGGTACACCCAACAATAGCAAAAATATACTGTGTATAAAGAAACGGTAAATAAGGATCTAAGATATAAACTAAACATTAATATTGCAAAATAATGTGGCGTAACAACAGCAGCCTGAACATGTCTTTGGTGAACAGACGAATGAATACAGCAGCATGAGATAATCAGCAGCACGAGATCAGCAGCATGAGATAATCAGCAGCACAGATGTTACACATCATCAATAAAAGTGACATTACAGTGATTTTCCTGGTTAGGGATTCATGAGTCTAACAGCTTCAGGTTCCTCAGTCTAGTGGTTCTACACTTAATGCGCCTCCTCCTGAGCGTGGGGGGAGTGGAGCAAAAAGTATGTGTGCTGGGTGAGCGGGGTCCTTCGTGATGCAGGTGGCTCTCTTCCTGCATCTAGAGGTGTAGATGTCTGTGATGGTGGGAAGACTGATTCCAACATCTTCTGTGCAGCCTTCACCACTCTCTGCAGAGCTTTTCTTTCTGCAGCTGTGCAGCCTCCATGCCACACGTTGATGCTGGAGCACAGGATGCTCTCCACTGCACACCTGTAGAAGGAGGTGAGGACTGAGCTTCCCAATCCAGCTCGCCTCAGCCGCCTGAGGAAGTAGAGGTAGAGGTTGATGTGTGCGTGGATAAGTGAGCTTCAGGATTATTTGCGACTTTCCTGCCAGTTCTGTGAGATTAACAGATGGATGTTACTTCTGACTTTACGTTGCAAAGTTTTTCGTTTCGGCAGAACACAGCGGCCAGAAGCACTGTTGGCTTTCGAGTAGTGTAGTTCTTTTGACCTATGTTACAGTGTAGGCTTATTGAAAGAAAACTACAAAATGGCAGCGTCTGTCCAAAATTTTTATTTGTTTTTTTATTAACTTTTTATCCCAAACCGTCCCAATCATGTGAGTAATATTAAAGTTGACAATCGTGTGTTGTGTACAATCTTGCGTTGAAAAGCCCTGAAAGTCAAACCACAATGTAGCGAGGGACTACTGTACTTCTGTTGTCTTCAACCCACTCTGATCTTTACACCAATAACTTTTATTTCCATTGATCTAACAGAAACATTACATGTTTTGCTAGAAGTGCTCCAAGCTGCACTGGAACTGCTACAGCTAGCTGCTTCTGTTAATTACCACTATTTGTGCTCTCATATAACCTTAGCTTTCTATGTAATATAACTCCAGACTGATAAAAACAGCAGCAGTCCTCTTTGGATTAGTCGTTATCTCGTCAACGATTCAAAATTAAACTGTTTGTCCAAACGGAGGGCTTTTAAAAGAACTATCTACAACAGGTAAGATATTATTTGTTCATTTCATTTTCACAGAACTCCACTTCAAAATATCAGAACTATCGCTTTGAGGGAAATTTGTGCGTAGAATTAGTTTATATTAAGAGTTTTGTCATTTGAAAACTTCTACTTTTTCACCTGTAATCCTAAACTTCAGCCGTAATAAAGGCAGCATAATGACAACGGACGATGATTAGAGCCACACCTGTTCTCAGTTTGGTAACAGTAAAAGTACAAATTAAAAATGTACTCATTCATAAACCTCACAGGGACACTAAGTGCCTCTACATCAATAACTGACCAACATTTCCCCTAAAAGAACTGAAATTTAAACTTTTTTCTTTATTTCTTTGCATAAACTTTGACATGTATTACCATCAAGAGACTGTTTGATGTTTACCAGGTTGTTTGTGTTTATGTTTGTGCCAGGAGCCCCCAGATTCAGCTCACACGAGAACAGCAGCAAATCCTGAGCCACGATATCCAGCGTGACCACGTGGTCAAGATCATAGCGTTTGCAGGTACAGCTTCTTCTTAATTTACACTCTTTATAAGAGTTTATTTTCTTCTGTAGGGACTTTATTGTACTCATTTTTTGGATGCTGCAGAATATGTTTAGTTTATCAGTATTTAAAACACTAAAGATGCACTTTCTGCACTTATGTCATTATGCCATCACGGGTTCCTCTTGACATAAATTTCAACTCTAAAATCAAACAAATGTTGCTTTAGACAAACATAAATTTTGTTCAGTAATCACTGAGGTGCTTGACTTTATGAGAGAGAACATACAGTAACGCACATTAAAATAAAGTAAATGTTTTTTCTCTGTTATTTTCCTGCTTTTCATGCCCATTGTTCGACTGATCTGATCACTTTTAAAGAAAAAGTTCTTTTAGTTCTTGGTTGAACCGGTTCAGGTTGAGAGAACCATTCTGTCACATAGAAAAACCCTAATGTTTCTGTTTTACTGTTGATTATTTCCTCTGATTATACGTCGACTGCTTGAAGTTACAGGAGGAAATTTAAAAAAAAGGAGGCTGGACGTTTCTGGCCTGAGCTGCAGCTGTGACGTAAAATTAATTACACCATTTAAAACAAAAACAACAACACTTGGGTTGTTTTCTGATCAACCTTTAAGTTGGAATTTATTTTACTAAAATTGAGAGAGGAGTAAAGGAGGCCGTCTTTGTGAAAAGAAATCGTCCATCTTTAAACAGGGGTGGAGGCCTCCGGGTCCCCCTCTTACAATGCTGTTATTGCTAGTATCACTCCACCCCCTGTTAATAGTAAACAGCCATCAGTGTGCTAATGATCCATTGTTAAGCTGATGGTCCTCATTGATCATGTGAGCAGCTGGTTTAGGCTGTCAGCAGCAAACTGGTTGATCCACTCTGAGAAGGTGCTATTTATAAGACGGAGCTGAATACACCTCAGACTGAAGAAGTCTTTCAAATGAAAGATGAAACGTTTCGCTTTTTCTTTTCTTTTTTAAATGTCCAGAGGACCAGATTGACCTTTTTTTTTTAGATTTTTCTACCTGGATTATTGAGCATGCATCAGGATGTGCCCAGCTCCATTAATGCTATTTCTTGTTGTAGTACAAGAATCAGACACTTGATGGTGTTCACAGACTATGGCTTGCTTTCAACATACACTGAATGATGATCTCGAGTATACATAAAGCTTGGCTGTATGACTCCTGGTTGCAACCATTATACCTTCAAAATGAACACAATAACTATCGAAGCATAATCACTGGACAGAACAGTGCCAAACACCTACGTAATTGAAATGATTTAAAATTGTATACCCAGAAATATTACCCAGAAATCCTAACGAGGCCATGTGACTGGAAGTGAAATAGTACAGATAAAATGCGATAAATATTCATTAAATCACTGGTAGTACCATTGATTTTTATTGTTAAACAGTATTGGTATCTGCTGCTGTTTTTAAATCTACTTTTTAAATTATCTTATCTTAAATAAATGACAGGATTTCTCCTCGGCGCTAATTAGCAGGAGAGGGAGTAAAGCCCCCAGTATACTGCCGCGTACGTCCATACGCAGAGGTAAGCACGTACGTACGCAGAGGTACAAACGTACCCCCCAGTGCATGTCCGTGCAAAGCTCAATTTTTACGACTTCATATACGTACGCGGTGTCACACAATAAACTGCCCAGTGACGGACTGTTTTGTATACGACACCAATGTATTAAATTCCCCTTCTTCATCCCTGATCTGGTCTTTTCTTTTGTTTTTTTTTTCCAAGAGGCAGTGATCTCTTCCTCCTCCATTGATGCCGTGACTGAAATGGTGAGAAATGAAGGAATTTGTCACGAGCGAATTAAACTCAGGTCCAGCGTGGCTGCGGGAGGGTCTGGAGGTTTCCTGGTGGGCTGGTCTGATGTGTGGGGCTGTAGAGCCAGCGCTCCCTGTTTTTTTTTTTTTTTTTTTTAGATCTTTTTATTAACAACATATAAACACAGAACACCGCTGAGGCTGCCAGGGCTCTTTTTTTTCCCCCTGACCTGTCAATCAATCTATTAGGCATGTCAGCAAATGACCAATCGGTGACCTCAATTTGTCCCGAAGGTAAACGCCCCTTGTCTGTGAAGCTGCTCTGCAGCTGCTCGGGGTGTACGCTGGAGTATCATGTCTGAACCCTCTGCGTACAGTACACTGAACAGACGTACGCGGCAGTATACTGGAGGTTTAAGGGGGAACAGCCAACACCCCCCATCTCCACCGCTCAGTTTCATCCACCGCTCAGTTTCATGAGTGAGATGAGCTTAAATGAGATATTGGTATTTAAACTAGGGATGCACCGATCCACTTTTTTTTTTACTTCCGATCTGATCCTGATACCTAAGTCTGAATATCGGCCGATACCGATCCAGTTCCGATATCATGATCATCATTGATTTTATATGAGGCTGTAATAATCTCCTCTCAAGTACAATTTGTACAAATATATGCATGCATGTCCAAAAAGGCAACTTGAGGTAAGTTGTATTGATGTTGGATAAGTTTTAAAGTTAGAATTAAATTCTAACACAAAACATGTTTTTTTTTTTATTCCTAGTTTTAAAGTGGATATTAAAGTGATTAATTCAAGTGATTGTTTAAAGTTATTTTATATATTTTTTAAATAAGAATAGAATAGAATTAGAATAGAATAGAATTCAACTTTATTGTCATTGCACATGTCACAGGTACAAAGCAACGAAATGCAGTTTGCATCTATCCAGAAGTGCTTAGCAAGAAAAATAAATTGGTAGATATATATAGTACAATATACAGTAAGTTGCTTTGAATATGTTATAGGTATAAATATATACAGGTTGTGAGTGTACAGACTATGAACAGGTTATAATATGAAGGGGTATAAACAGCTATATAAAAGAAAAAAAAATTATATATATAAGTATGTGAGTACTTATGAACAGTGGATAGTAGATTATGTGTACAGTTTGTACAGTAGTGGGCTAACAGATGAAAGTGCAGGTGGTGGTGTTACAGTCCATGTGCTGTTGTTGTGTGTATGAGAATACAGACCGTTGTTGTTATTCAGATGTCAGGAGGCAGAGTTCAGGAGTGTGACAGCTGTGGGGAAGAAGCTGTTCCGGTACCTGGTGGTTTTAGTCTGGAGGCTCCTGTAGCGCCTCTCAGAGGGCAGGAGGGTGAAGAGTCTGTGTGCTGGGTGGCTGAAGTCTTTTATGATTTTTCCAGCCCTTTTCAGACACCGCTTCCTGTAGATGTCCTTTATGGCAGGAAGTGGTGATCCGGTGATGTGTTGGGCGGCTTTCACCACCCTCTGCAGCGCCTTCCGGTCTGAGGCAGAGCAGCTCCCGTACCAGACTGTGATGCAGTTGGTCAGGATGCTCTCAATGGTGCAGCGGTAAAAGTTCACCAGGATGTCTGAGGACAGGTGGTTCTTCCTCAGAGTCCTCAGAAAGAAAAGACGCTGGTGAGCTTTCTTGATCAGTTTGGAACAGCTGGTCGTCCAGGTGAGATCCTCGGAGATGTGGACACCCAGGAACTTGAAGCTGTTCACACGCTCCACCACCGCCCCCTTGATGTAGATGGGTGGATGTGGGCCAGCGTTCCTCCTGAAGTCCACGATGAGCTCCTTAGTCTTCTCGGTGTTGAGCAGCAGGTTGTTGTTGTCACACCACTCAGCCAGACGAACCACCTCCTCCCTATAAGCGGTCTCATCGTTGTCTTTGATCAGGCCGATCACCGTGGTGTCATCTGCAAACTTAATGATGGTATTGGAACCATCAACAGGTTTGTAGTCATGCGTGAAGAGGGAGTAGAGGAAGGGACTCATCACACAGCCTTGTGGTACAACGGTGTTAATAGTGATGATAGATGAGCAGTGGTTATCCAGACGGACATGTTGGGGTCGGTTGGTCAGAAAGTCCAGTAACCAGTTGCCCATGAGGGAACTGATGCCCAAGTCTGTGAGTTTTGTGATGAGTTTTGAGGGGATGACTGTGTTGAATGCTGAACTAAAATCTATGAACAGCATCTGGGCAAAGGTGTTTTTGTTGTCCAAGTGTGAGAGAACAGAGTGCAGCGCTATGGAGACTGCATCCTCTGTGCTCCTGTTCTGGCGGTATGCAAATTGGTGGGGGTCCAGGGTGGGGGGGGAGACAGGATTTGAGGTGTACTAGGACCAGCTGCTCAAAACACTTTGCGATGATGGAGGTGAGGGCTACCGGACGGTAGTCGTTGAGTCTTGATGGTTTTGAGTTTTTGGGTATTGGGACGATGGAGGTGGTTTTGAAGCAGGTTGGTACCACAGCACGGGCCAAGGACAGGTTGAATATGTCCGTCAGTACTCCTGCCAGCTCCCCAGAACACGCTCTAAGAACACATCCAGGGATGCCATCAGGACCCGCAGCCTTGTGAACTTTAATCCTGCTCAGCGCCGCTCCTACATCGGTGGGGAAAAGAGTCAGTGGTTGGTGGTCTGGAGACACATCTGCCTTAGTTGTAGTTGTTGGGCTCCCTCTCTCAAAACGAGCATAGAAATTGTTGAGCTCATTGAGGAAGGAAACATCAGAGGAGATGGGGGAGGGGTTGATGGCCCTGTAATCTGTAATGATCTGGAGTCCTTGCCACATACGTCGGGGGTTGGAGTTTGAGAAGTGTTCTTCTATCCTCCCCTTGTAGTGGTGCTTGGCCTTTTTGATGCCCCTCTTCAACTCAGCCCTGGCTGTACTGTAGGCCTGTGTATCCCCTGACCTGAAGGCGATGTTGCGAGCCTTCAGCAGTAGACGTACATCCCGATTCATCCAAGGCTTCTGGTTGGGGTACATGGTGATCTGTTTCTGGGTGGTGACACTGTCTATAGTGGTGGAGATGTGGTCCAACACAGATGAGGCGTACTGTTCCAAGTCGGTGTGAGTGAACATATTCCAATCAGTGTTTTTGAACCGGTCCTGGAGCACAGTGTCTGTCCCCTCTGGCCACACTTTTATTGTCCTCACAGTGGGTTTCACACGTTGGA